ATCGAAATCACTATTTTGCTTTCTGAGCTATACGAAAGAACTAGATCACGATCTCGCGGGACTAATCTCTTGAAAACGGAAAGAAAGGGAAAGCCAATCGTACGTCCTGGTTTCCGGGACTTTCTTCCCACAGGTTATTCTATACAATTTATGAAAGAGAGGAGAAGCCCCACTCGGGGAGATGAGTAAAAGCTTTCTCTTATTTTAAGTGATGAATGAGATTTTTTCTCCTATTTTTGAGCCTATCTCGCTAGTTCAAGCTTATGAACAAGCTTGGACAGTTCTCCTTCCTTGGACATTCTGTTCATCCGACCACCGCTCTTCCTCGTTAACTCACGGATGGAATATCACAACAAAAACCTTTGCCGGCTCCTTACTACTACTTGAACCTTACCTACCCGAGACACAACCAGACTTGCGTAGGAACATCGACTGGTCGGGGCTAATCCGCCCCCAAGTGTGTGACAGGCCATGTTTATCACCGGTTTGTCAGTTGTGGTTCCCGTTGAGTTGAGGCAAGCTTAGCCACCAGCCCCCTTCCAACTACATAGGAAACTCTTGCTTGGGGAGAGTCAATCTAGTTACCGGGGTAGTGAGACCAATAGGGAAAGATAAGAGGGAGTATGTGAAAGATCCATTTACCCAGACGGTGTGCGACAAATGAGTTGTCGGGCATGGGAGAAAGGGCTTGAGTGGGGAGTGAAAGGTTAGTTTCGCTTTCCTGTTGAGGTTTTTTCCAAGTCCATTTGAGCTGTCCCCTTTCTCCTCTATGGATTGCGGGTCAGTTACTATATGGAATTCGTATTCACCGGCTGGTATGCCTTCTTGCTTTCACTCATACCTTCGCTTCGATTCGGCAAGGATCTTTCCTCCCTGAGATCGAATTCCGTATTCACATGGATTTGCCATCGAGGACACTCATAACTACAGGCAATAACCTACTTCACTGGTACAGGAAGATATGAAATATCTGGCTCGGCAGCAACTTATCCTTCTATATTCCATATCACCTTCGCTTGCATTCCCTGAGACTGATAACAACGTAGCTTACTTAGCTCAATTACCCATCCGCTTCCTTTGAACATGGATTTTACCCAGATACCTTTGAACGTTATCAAAGCACTTTCTGAGCGGAAAACCTAGCAATCTCGGCAAACTTTTTCATGCCTTGGACAGCCTCTTCGGCTGCTTGAACTACTTACTATCAGGCGAGCAACAACTACATTTCCTAATTCAAACCTATCTTGAGAAAGCCAATCCTAGGCTGAAAGGAGAGGGACAGGCCCGGGAAAGCAGAAGAGAAGAAGAACAGGATATCCCTCCATTACGAGAGGCAGTCACAAGCAGTGACTCAGTGAATCAAGCAGCCAGTCTCGCCGCAGTCAAGCACTCATTAGTCCGTTGTTCTTCTTGCCAACAGCTTCGCTTCTTCCTTGATGACCTCATGACCTCTTCTGTTCTGGAACTAACCGAAGTACAAAGGAGTAGTATTCCACCCGGCAGCTTCAAGGGGGGATGGATTCCACCAGTTAGTTAGCTGGTTCCAGTTAGCTTCGAGGAGGGGCAGCATTTGCGGATTCCCCAGAATAAGCTTTTGAATCAGAGATCTCAGCACTATGAGAAGTTCCTTTTGGATCGCTTGCCTCAAATCTGCCTAGAGAAAGACTTTAGAGTTTGACATAGCTGATGGTAGTAGATTGTACATGAGGGAGGTTTAAGCCGTTTGAACGAGTTGACGAGTGGAAGGAACGAAGTGATCGAGAGCAGAAGGAGTTGGATAGACACCAACCACTATATTATATACGACATGCTCAGATCTTTCTGTATCAAAGCCAGAAAGCAATCAACCGAGCAAGCTAAGATGAATCAGAGAAGTTCCTCGCCTCGGAAAAGAACTGAAGAGATTGGATGATCTGTCTCAGCTCAAAGAAAGATAGAGCATTCTAGTCGTGATCCCCTGAGCTTCTTTCTAAAAGTCTGTGGTTTTATCTATGTCCATGTATGAGCTGCATCTCATTGAATGTTAATGGAGGAGCGATCCCCTTCTGACTCTGAAACCGAGATGACATCCTACTCGCGGTCAAAGCATTGATGATCCCCTCTTCTTCTTTATGATCTTGTAAGATCCTTGATTCATTCAACTGAAACAGAAGCTACGGGCCCGAGGGTACGAGGTGAAGGGGGTCCCTATTCATGAGCAGATGCACCAACCGCATTTCATGAGATTGGAATATAGGGATTGGTCCCTTTGATACTATAGATCTCTCCCCCAATCAACATTTTTAACCGCTACGCTACCTTTTATTAAATAGAAACCTCGCTTCTTTCGTTCCATCTATGATGTCTCCTTGAAGTCAGTATCGACGCTTGACGCTACGAATTGAATAGTCTTTGAGAATTCCCTTTGTTTGTTCAAACTTTGATAACCTAACCCTCGTTCGATAGAACTAACCAACCTTCCCTAAAAGTGGAGGTAGGAGATCCAGTTAACGAATAGGAT